TGACTCCCTCAGGCTCTGCTGGGGCGCATTCAGACCTGGCTCTGCCACAATCCTGCTGCTCTTTCGGCAGATCTGTTCATGGCCACCACCAAGCCTGAGGACTGGGCAGAACGTGGGAACATCCTGTGGGGACAGGACGGGTGCAAGGGGGCCGGGTGGTGGGTTAGAGTGGGCAAGGGTCGATGGGTTCAGATGGGGTTCAGAGTAAAAGGCTCTTGCCAGCAACTACTACATTAGGTGTGCGTGCGTGCGTGTGTGTGTGTGTGTGTGCGTGTATGAGAGACAGACATGGGTGTATGTCACTGTATAGGGGTGATCGCCCATGCTGGATCTATGTGAGTGAAGGACAGGGACTGGAACAGTGGTTCTCCAACTTGGCTACACATCAGAATCACCTGGGAGTTTTTGAAGCCCTGATGCCCGTGTCATCTTCATACTCACTAAGTCAGAATCTCTGGGGGTGGGACTCAGGCATTCGCGTTGTTTTAAACTTCCAGGTGATTCCAATATGTAGCCAAGTTTGAGAAGAGTGGATGAGAAGACTTTTTAATATGTTAGGATGTTTACAAGAGAGACACGATGAGTGGCATGCCTTGAGGGGAAGAGCTTTTTGGCAGTACAGCTGCTGGCGGTCTGGGCAAATGGTTTGCAGAGCTAGAGAGTTATAAAATCTATTTCCAAAGACTGTTACCATTGCAAAGCACTTTGGCGATGATCTAATCCAACCTCTGACAGCTGCAGAGATCCAAAGAGAGGCAGCGACTTGTCCAAGATCGCACACCAGGCAGTGGTAGATGCCAGGCTGGGCTCCTGACACAGCACAGCTGCAAGGACACACGTGTACACACACACGTAACGTATGCGTGTGCATGTTACGTGTGAGTACATGTGTGCATGTGTGGGTGTGTGGATTCATGTGTGGGGTGTATTGTGTATACATGCGTATATGCATGTGTGATGTATGTGTGTACACTTGTGTGTGCACGTGTCCATCGTATGCCTAGAAGGGACTTCACATGAAGATATCTAACATTCCTCCATTTTATTTTGTTCAAACATTACACATCTTCTAAGGGTCACACCCCATCGCAGAAGCGATTCTCAGATTTCTAAACCTAGAACAATTGGCACATTGATACTTACAATGATATGGGGTGGGGGGAGGAATTTTACTTTTAAAAAATCTCTGCCAAGGAGCTGGATCCAGAGAAACAGCATTTGCTGCGAAACACCCTAGAATACCCAGCATTTTTGCATGTGTTGTAACAGGCCAACGGAAATTCTGGCTAAAACTCCAACTTCAAGCCAAGGTGCATTGTAAAGGAACAAGAATTGGTTCATTTGAAGTTTAATTAGTATGTTTCGCCAATGGAACAAGCTAAAGCACACATAGCCATTACCATCTGCAATCTCAGCTTCGGTCCCAAGAAAACAACCCCAGAAGTGATGTCTATGGTCAGGAAAAGAAACTTTCAAGAGACTCTAATGAGCAGAACATTCACTCAGGCAGAGGCTCATGCTGAGACACGGTCAAACACAAATACAAAAAGCCATCAAAGTGGGGGCTCCTGAGGCAAGCTCCTTCACTGTGCAGGCTACGGAGTTGGTGCAAGCGTGCCCCCCTCTCCCCTGACGAGGGCTGAATAGACACAGGAACCACAGAAAGGGAGCAGACACCTCCCCTGGCCCAACATCACCTCCGGCCCCTATCTCTGATCAGAGAGAAATAGAGGCTTAGCAATTTTAGATGGGAAACAGTACTTCCGTGAAGAAGGGAGAAAGAGAATTTCAGGCCAAAGGCTGAAATAAAAAATCATGGATGGCTAAGCAGGCAGTGAGACAAAGCAGGCAATGGTGCTGGTATTGCTAGGACTTCCCTGGAAGGAGACATGACAGGTGAAAGGAAGTTCCTTTCACTGAACTGGGTATGATCTGTGTTCGCAGTGGTGGGGGAGCACTTGGGTTAGGGCAAATGAGATTCAGGTTCAGCTCTAGAAAGAGATTCCAAGTAAAGTTATAAAGATCTGGAAGGTGGGTAAGTGTTTCCTTCCCCATCCTCAGGGAGGTCGTTTCCCTAGCAAACGTCTTTTGCTGGGTGGTGACATCCCCCTCAGTTTCCCCTTGCCTCCCACACAGTCTGGGAAGAAAAGGATGCCAGACACCCTGAGGCACACAGGGACAGCCTGAAAACACAGGGGAGCAATACTTCAGGGGCAGTTCAAGATGGGTAGGCAGGTTAAGGGCAACCTCCTTCTGCAAGGTCTCCAGGCCACAGAGGCCACCTTCTTCCTGCCTGGGACCTTCATGACCAGGGCGAGGTGACTGTCTGATCTGCAGCACTTCAGGGAGGGCATGAGTGCAACAGGCATTTGGTGACAGGCTCCAGGGGCCCTTCATCCAGCCCTCAGTGGCTCAATACTCCCTCAGTGACAAGAGAGAAAAGAGCCCTAGTGGAAAGGAACTGAGAAGCCACTTCTATCACAGGACCAAGGATGGCTGGTCCTGACTGTCCTTCCTGGGGTACAAGGAGCAGTGGCTACTCTTCCAGGCAACCTGTAGGGTGTGGCTGGCCCTTCTTAACTCGGGGAACTTTGGATGGGATTCAAGGGGCTCAAGAAGACCCTAGGCGAACTGACTCTGCTCTTGGAAGAGACTAAAGGAGAATTTGAATCTGTCCAGGGTGCAAGGGAAAATGTCTGGGCATGGTCCTTCCACAGCCACCAGCTCTTTCCATTCCAGGAACCAAGGCAAGCTCCTGACAGGTAAACCAGCATGAGAAAGAGGGAGCAGAGTGAGTAGAGGTGGCCGCAGAGCAAATAGGGGACGCTTGGGCGTTTCTGATGGAGAGGACAAGGAAATCTGATGAAAACTAAGCCAGCTGAACCAGAAACACCAGCTCCAAGTGACCAAACCGCCTCTTCCAGCAAGGATGCCTCTGGGGAAACCAGCCTCCTTTAGGAACCTCCGCAGAGTCTGAGGGTAGAGGGGACACGCCCACAGGGCCAGACCTTGGAGTTTCTGGAGAGGTAGCCATCAGCATCAACCCTCCCCTGAATGAAGCCCCCTGAAGGACCTTGGGAGGAAAAACAAAGAGGGAACAAAGGAGACCTTATCAGATAGAGGTTCCCCACAAAGACCAAGCCCAGAAAGTACACTTCAGGCTGACAGACACTCAGCCGATATCCTGATAGGTGGGAGGAAGAAGGAGTCCTTGGGGCACCCAGAGCCATTTGAGTTTTCTGGAGTTGTGAGCCAAGAGCTCAGGCTGGGATGGAGTGGAAGTGGGAAGGGGACAGCCAAGTTTTGGGCAGAGAGGAGAGTAGGTTGAGCAGTGCCCTGGGCTATAGCCAGAAATGGGGCACTTTGTTCTTCCAAACCTACTTCTAAAGAGGCTAGGAGGCACCTACCAATGCACCAAATAAAAGGGAAGGAGGCATGTGCTCTGGAGGCGGCATGACCTTGAGTGGAAATGTGAGGAGAGGAGCCCAGGGCTCAGACAAAGGCAAAAAGCACAGAGCAGCAAAGGCCTTTAGGTCTGGGGCCCAGGGAGTCATCTGTCCGCCATTTTCCTTCCTTCGGCTCTACATGGGGCCACTCAGGAATGGGGGCTAGGGAGTGGGTGGGGGGACAGAAGCCAGAGGTAGAAAGTGTGAGGTAGGGGTGTGTGTGTGTGTGTGTATGTGTGGTGGGAGAATGGCCAAGGCTGGTTTCTTTTGTCTCCTTCCACCTTATTACCCCCTGCCCCTCACTCTCTCCTAAGGCCTGTCTTAATAAATAAGTCTTGGTTTACCTGTACTGGTTAGTGGTGGGTAAAGTCTTTATTAGTATTTTACTAAATTTAGCTAAATAAAATAAGTAAATAAATAAACAAGGGGAATCTTTGCTCACTTGTGTGTAATTCTTACCAGGCATCCTTTGTATTAAAGTATCTGTTTGGTCTATAAGCTTTCCCCTGTCAGGTACTGCCCCTTCCTCCTTGAGTTTCGCGGGTGCTGCCCCTTTCTCCCAGGCTTCCCCAGTCATGGGATCTGGCCTCTCAGAAGCTGGAGGAGGGGGTGCCAGGCCCCGGATCCAGCTTGGAAAAGTTCCCGTGAGGGCTCAGCTAGAGGCCTCCCTGGGGCCTAGGGGGATTTCCAACCTGCCACGCTTTCCTTACTCTCCCCATGAGACACTTGTCTACCTAAGCTAGGTGGGGTAGAAAGAATTCAGTGAGAAAGAGGAGTTCTGCATTGGCTATTCGGGAAAGAAGGCATCCTGACCCCCTTCCCTGTTGTCAAGGGACCCACTGGCCGTGGGGCGGCCTTCCAACTAGGCTAGCCTCTTTCAGGAGGCTCCCAATAAAGTGCCCTGGAGTTCCAGGGCCTCCTCTCTGCTCCCTGTGCCACTTCCCCGTCCCGCAGCGACTCTCCTGAGCTGCACTCCTGTCTCAGCGACTCCCTCACGCCGCTCACGGATACACATGCACACAGGGACTGGGGTTCCCCTTGGCCTGAACGCCGGGCATCGGCTGCCAGCTGAAGGCCAGGAGATTAAGCCCAGGAAGGTTGAAGGGTGGCCCACAACTGTTTGCGAGCGCGGGGACCATGGCCCCCAGGACAGCCAGGGTGAGACATGATGCAGGGCTGATCCCTAGAGCAGCACCCGAAAGAGAAAGCCGTCCAGACCCAGGGCTCAGGGACAGGAGAACCGCTCGCGGGGGATCCTCAGCCTCCTGGCACGCTGGGAGATACTGCCGGCTGTGTCCGGGTGAACCACCCATCCTTGCCCACTAGCGTGCCATCGAGCTCGTGGAGGTGTCGAGCCAGCCTCGGGTGGCTGTTCCATCTGCTCGGAACCGGCTAGGAGCTCGGCTGCTCGCATTCAGCGCGTAGACCCTGCATGGGGCCAGCAGCCCCTCGCCTCCCCGCACCCCCTGGGATGCTTGCGTCCCTTGGTCTCCGCCGCTGGGCCAGGGCGCTCTGAAAGGGGGCGCACGGACCACGCGGGGACCGAGCCTTTACCTCGATTGGAGTGGCTCAGGGTGGACGACTGGGAAGACTTGGACTTCTGCCGCTTGACGGTCATCATCACCTGCTCCTGCACGCGCTGCCTGCCAGACGTGCCTGTTTTCATCTTTTGGTCCGACGGCAAAGCCAAAGTGGAGTTGTCCTGGTCCTGGAAGCATTCGTACGCCAAGGCGGTCTTGAGCGGCGAGTGGTTCATGGTCGCGGGAGGCGGGAGGCGGGAGGCGCGCGGCCGGGGCCTGGGAGAGCAGAGAGGCGAGGCGAGGTGCGGTGCAGCGGGCGGGCGGTAACGTGCTCTTCTCGCTCTCAGCAGCTCCCTACGGCCATAGAGTGCGTGGTCCGCGTGAGGGCTCCCGGCAGCTGCTCCTGGCGCTTCCACCCCGGTTCGTCCCTCTTTGGCAGTGGCGAGGCCCGCCCTCCGTCAGACAGGATATACCACCCCTGCCCTGCACCACCCACTCCACCTGGCCGCGCGCTGCTGCCGCTCAGACGCGGAGCTGCAGGGCACTGCTGCTGCGGAGCCAGCGCTCTTGGGGGCAGGGCTTCGAGTCCCCCGTGTGGGACACTGGGCCCCTTCCTGCACGCTCTTTTTTTCTCTCCGTTTCCTCTCCCCATGAGCAAGAAACGTCGCAAGCCTTGAGGCCCCAGGGAGACGCCCCTCTGTCCTGTTCTGCCGGCTCACTGAGAAAGCATGTGTTCAGCTCAGGAACCGAGGGAGACCTCTCTCTAGGAAAAAAGGAGCCTTTCTTGACCAGGCTGTCCGGGAGAGCCAGGCGTCCATCTCCCTCTGTACTGCGGTCATAGCAGAGACCAGCCCCGGCGGTGGAGGCTCCCGGGCTGATGGCAGAACCATAGCTCTTGCTCCAAAGGAGTGCTCCATCTTATGGGGGCAACCCAGTCTACTCTAAAGCAGTTTCCTCTGAAGCAAGTCGGGTAGGGGCAGGAAGGCCACATCAAGGAGCAGACTTGAGATATCAGACCACACAGTGGGTATGCCTTGGTGAAACTGGTGGTTATTTGTTGTTCATGAGTATAGCCCGGTAAAACACCACGTGAACAGCGGATCCTCTCTGAAACTCCACTATAGCCTTTGATACTATGCCTGGCACAGGTAATATTAGGTACTCAATAAAAGACATTTTTAAATAGGTGAATACATGAATGCTAGTTAATTTAAGGTAAATTAAATCTAACTTGGATCCTAACCAACTGAAAAATTGAAAAGCTGCTTTATCCTGAAACTCCACTCTGGACTTACTATTTTGGGACCACTGTGTGCATTCCCCTATGCACACTCACACCCCTGGGGACACATGTGCAGTGAAGCTTCATTCATGTAGCATCCTCCCCAGGGATGGAGAGAGCCCACATCAGTGAATCTGGTGTGTAACAGGAACCGAGTGCTTTTTTTTTTTTTTAAAGTATTTACTTTGATGGAAATATTTCTAAAAAGTATCGCATTCTGCTTTGCCTCCTAAAGCAAACAACACTGAACATATTTGCTGTACTTCTTGATGCCCTGAGTTTCACATTCTGGACATCCATTACTGAACTGTGTAGTCGTGCAGTCCAGTCAGCTTCTTAGTTTTGGGGCCTCCACCAGCTGTGTGACACTATCACAGCCGTCACTCTTGCTGTCATTTGAGGTTGCCGTTCACAGCTCACATGCTTTACTTTTAGTTTGCTCTTCTAATCTACGGAGGAAAGGGCAATCAGAAATCTATTCTTTTTGGGAATTTTATGTCGAGGAAGGATCTAGAAGACTGAATGACTGTCTCAGGGACCACATGAAGGTCACTCACGCACTTCCTGAGATGTGGGTGTTACATGCTGGGAGCAACTTTCCCAAGGAAGGTATTCCTAGTAGCAATTTCCAGAGCAGAGTGTTGTAAAACAGACTGTAGTTTCTAATAGAAACAATTTTATTATTGAGGGTTCTGTTCCTAAGAACTTATCCTCAAGTAAACCAGAGATGTGACCAAAAATATGTCATAGATGTATACAAAACACCTGTAGACCTCTATTATCATTTCATATTGTAAGATTCTGCTTCCAGCCGTAGACCACCAGGACTGGATAGAGCCTTGGACTTCATCCAGCCAAGCACCGCATTTCAGTGATGAGGAGAGGAGACAGTTTGCTTGCAATGCCCCAGTTAATTTGTGGCAAAGCCTGCATCCTAACCAGGCCTTGTGACTCCTGGCACAGTGTTCGTTCCACCACATCATCCAGCTTCCCTTATAAAAGTCCTATAAAATGGACATTAAAGTACAGTGCACACCGATTATATAAGGGCCCCAATGTACTATAAAGTATACACGGCAGCATATAAAAATACAATTCCATTGTATCACACATTTGGCCTATCTAAAACCTAATATGCTAGCCATAATAAATGTTAATTACATCTTTAAATAATGATAATTTTCCTATTCTAGGATACAGAAGGGCCCTGAAGGAGGGGATTAGAGTAGCTCATCTTCCTATAAAAGGCAAGTCTGTGGAAGCTGAACTGATTATCTTTAAAATCATTTTCAGGGATGAAGTTCAGTTTTTCTAGCTACTTCTCTACTATGTTAATAGACATTATTTTGACATATTGATAACAATAGCCAACATTTACTATGCTCCTCCAAACACCATGCCTACCAACCAGGCATGATTCTGAGCCCTGTACATGAACCACATCATTTGAATCCTTACAATGACCTTATGAGGTGGGCACCATCACCCTTCTTTTTCAGATGAGGAAACTGAGGCTCCATGAGGCCACCCAGCTGGTAATGGGCAGAGACAAGGCAACTGCAATCCAGAGCTGGACACTCAGTGGTAGTGCCAGGCTGCCTCCTTGAGATTTCCCTGTGACAAGCAGATCCTTCTCTGGATGGGTCTTTTAACAGCATCTATTCCCATCACAGGGCATGAAAGTCAGGCCAACTGGGTTCCTGATCTAGTTGTGTCACTAACTAGCTTCATGTTAGACAAGTGCCTTCCTCTGTCCCTCGCACCAATCTGCAAAGAGGGGGTAAACTTAATGGCTCCTAAACTCCACTCTAGCCCTAACACTATAATTCTGATGTCAAATGTGGGAATTTGTAGGGCAGGACATCTTGAATCAGGCCCTTCGGACAGAAGAGGAGAGGAAAGGGCAGTCAGGTTACGCATTCTGGGCCACGGTGAGGGAGACATACTCAGGCTGGGAGGATTGGTTTGGGGCTCGGGTGTATGGTTTTGAGTCAGCAGGCCAACGCTATTTCCATCATCACTCTCTCTCTTCTGCCTGCCTGAGCCCCACCCTATGTGGGGCCTGTCTCAGAAATCAACCAGCAAGGACGCTAACACTCCTAAAGTGAAAAGTGAAGAAAAGAGGGCAAGGAGGCACAGTCGCATGATCCCAGCTCTGAAATGGCATGCTTTCAGTTGACTGTCAGAACATATATTTAGATGGTAAAATTCTAATGGATATGGGTTAATTTCAGCTTGGAAGGTGTTGGGGGTGATCAGGGGGAAGCTTCCTGAAAGAAGTTAATTTTGACTTGATTCTGAAATAAGATGAGTATATTTTTATCCTCAAAGGAGTGAGTATGAATGGGCTTCTAATTCTCTTTGCTGCCTGCCCTAGAGCATTAAGTGTGACCCAGATTTCACTTTCAACATTCCGGCTCCCAGACTTCACATCCTGTCATCTCTATGTTCATTAAAAAGTGAAATATGAGTTCATTTATTCAACAAGTATCTGCTATGTGGCAGACCCTGTCCCAGGTACCAAGGATACAATGGTGAGGAGGGCAAAGTTCCTGCTCTTATAGAACTTACTTTTTTTTGAGACAGAGGCTCACTCTGTCACTCTCGCTCTGTGCAGTGGTACGATCTTGACTCACTGCAACCTCCGCCTCCCTGGTTCAAGCAATTCTCCTGCCTCAGTCTCCCAAGTAGCTGGGATTACAGGTGTGTACCACCATGCCAGGCTAATTTTTGTATTTTTAGTAGAGACAGGCTTTCACCGTGTTGATCAGGCTGGTCTCCAACTCTTGACCTCAGGTGATCCACCCACCTCGGCCTCCCAGAGTGCTGGAATTGCAGGCGTGAGCCACTGTGCCTGGCCTAGAGCTTATTTTCTACAGGAGAGAAAGAGAAGGTTGGGCCAGGGGTGGGTGGGGGCTGGCCCAAGGAAGGCTGAGAAGAGGTCTCTGGGGCTCCTGCAGCCTTTAAGAGTGTCTGGGCTGAATCTTCTCCCTCCTCAGTTTCCAGCCCTCCAGTTGAGAGGACCAACTCTAGCTGAGCCCCTCACTGATGCAAACACCCCAGGGGTGTGGAAGAGGTAGGTTTTCTTCCTGGATCCCTGGGCTCGCCGGGTGAACCCATCTTCTTCAGCCCAGTGCCTCTGCAACTGGACTTCCTGGACAGCGGCCATGGGACCAGCTCCCTGTTGTGAAAGTTTTTCTGGATGACATCCTTTGGCCAGTTAGCAGACTCCTCAATGGCTGCTCAACTCAGGAATCTTATAACATTCCCTGATGAACTCACACTGCCCCCCTCCCTAGTCTCTAAATCGCCTCTGTCTTTTCTTCTGCATTATTTTGTTTTCATCCTAGCACTCACCCCATGGAGTCACCTGCCCCTTACCTTTGCATATTTGCTGTTCCCTCTGTGTGGAGCACTGTCAGTCAGTCACTTAAATATGTATTGAGTGCCGAAAGGGGCTAGACACCATGTCAACCCTGGGGATACAATGATGAAAAAGACCAGATCTTGCTCTCATGGGGTGTATGTTCTAAAGAAGTAGACAAAGAGTTGATTTGTAAATGATTGCAAATTATATTAAATGCTATGAAACAAACAATGAGCGGTTTAGAGACTGCAGAGAGGGACAGCTTTAGCCACGGTGGCCAGAGTGTGACAGGCTGAGACTTGAAGAATGAGAGGTAGCTGCCCATCTCAGAAGTGGGGGAAGGGGCTCTGAGCAGAGGGAATGGTGAGTGTACAATCCATGAACCTGGCATGTCTTCAAAGCAGACAAACCAGGGAGACTGGGCAGGTGGGCGCAAGATGGGCAGGCAGGCAGCGCTGTCCTGTAAAGCTTTCTTCAATTATGAAAATGTTCCATCTCTGTGCCCATTATTTAAATCAGTTCAAATTGTGTAAAGGAAACATTCAGTTCCTTAAATATACCAGCCTCATTTTAAGGGCTTGATAGCTACATGTTGCTAGTGGCCACTATATTGGCCAGTCCAGGATCATGCTGGAGTTTGGAAACTTCTGTCTGGGGGTTGAATTTTATTCTAAGAGTAATGACAGGCCACTGATAAGTCTTAAACAAGGGGGTGACAAGCCCCTCCCACCTCCTGCCTTCTTGCCACTTGTCAATCCTATCTATCCATGTGGAGGAATCTCC